AAGCGATGCTTTTTAATAGCTAAAAGATATTATAATACTTAAAAGCATTATTTACTAGCGATATTTTATACTCTAATAATAATTCTTTATATAAAATATTAAGAAAATAAGCTTAAATAAGCTAGACTTAATTTTAAAGGAAATCTTAATATATTAAATCAAATTAAAAGAGCTAATAGTACTTTATATAAAAACTTAGTTAATATTTATAATAATTATATTAACGAAGATAACGAGCTTATAAAAAATACTCCGATAAGTCTAATATTTATAAGTTTATTAAGATATATTACTAATACTCTATAATATATAAAGAGATAATTAATAAATTTATAATTAGAGAGAGTTAGTAATAATAGATCTAGTCTTAAAGAAGAGATCTAAAATAATTTAGAAAATGAATTTATTTATAAATAATTAATAAGTTTAATTAGATAAAAATAGATTTAAGAAATTTAAAAGAATTATAATAGAGTAGAATAGAAGAGTAGCGAAGAGTTCGAGAGAAGAATAAATATAAAGTTTATTAAGCTTATCTAACGCGTTAAGATAAATATATAAATAAAGATAATTATAGAATTTTATTTTTATAATATTTAAAGATTTAAAATTTAGAATATTCTTTTATATTATAATTTTAAGAAGAAGAATAGAGACGCTTATAGTTCTAATTATTATTCTAATTATTACTATTAATAAGAAGATAAATAGCTATATTAAATTACTCTTTATATTCCCTCTCTCTCAATAAAGAAGAATAAATATATTCTACATATCTCAGTCGGATTATTCTATAAATATAGAAATCCCAACCGATATATTCTATACATATATTATTCCATGATATAATACCACAAATATACCATACCGTAAGATATCCCGCCAAGATCCCGAACCCATACCAGAAAAATGAAATGATATCCGACCCTATCCATACCATACCCGGATACGATATAATATCACTTGATATGAAATATCCCATAGAATATACCATACCTTTCCGGCCAGTAACTTACTTCTATTTCTATATCTATTTAAATTACTTTAGAAGCTTCGCGAGTAATAACGTCTTTATTATAATCTAATTCGATCGATAAGTAAATTAAGAAAGATAATATTATAGAGAATTTCTAATAATAGAAGAAAGAGATTATTAATAAGTCTGTTGAAATGTAACCTTCGCGTATCCCAGCCACCATGTTTTTAACCTCCGCGTATTCTAGCCATTATATTTTCTAGTTATCTAATTTTATACTATATTTAGAATCTAGTCTCGGAGAGATTTTAGAGAATTAATCCGTTCGTTCTATATATTATATATCTGATATTCTAATAGATTATAAGCTCGATTCTAACGCTATTATTATATCTCGCTACTATCTTATTCTACTACTATATCTTATTTTACTATTATATCTCGCTATTACTATATCTTAACGCGCTATTCTTAATCTATTATTTAAGTTATTTATTTATTAACTTTATAAGAATAACTATTTCGAATAACTTATAGATATATATATCTTATTACGTAAATAGAAGCTATAAAAGTATACTTAAGAGATTTCTTTCGAGTTATTAATCGTAATAGCCTTAGTTAAGTAAAAAGAATTCTCTATAGAGACTATTAATATTATAATATCTATCGTTAATAGCTCTATTAAATAACGATTTATTATTAATAAATTCAACTATAGCTTTCTTATACTATCTCGATTAATTATACTCTATTAACTTATAGATAATAAAGAATTTATACGATTTACTAAAGAATTCTATATCTTAAAGTATATTAGCTTCGAAACGATATTCGAATATCTTATCTATATTAAGTTACTCGAAGAACGAATTATCGCTATAAACGTTATTCTTATCTCCGATAAATAAATTATTCTTTATCTCTTTATATCGCTTCTCGAATATCTTTAATACTTAATTAAGATTTAAAACGTTATATCGAATATAACTATAGAAAAAGCATATATTATACTTCTAAAGAAAGAGAGAAAAGAAGAAAGATTAAAGTTTTCGGAGAAAGAGGAGGCTACGATATTTGCGGCTGCGGCTATTAAAGAAAGGGCTAATAAGCCCTTATATAAGACGTGTAAAAGGCTATATAAACCGATGTGTTGGACTAAACGTCCTAGTTTAGCCCCGGAATAATATTAATAGCAAAGTGATATTAAGCGGAAGCGTATCGAGTTAGAGGAGGCTTAGGCTACGATAGCCTATTCGTTCTAAGGCTGAAATAGCCTATTTTTATTAAAAGGCTGAAATGGCCTATCTGTTATTGAAAGACTGAAATAGCCTATTTATTATTAAAAGGCTGGAATAGCCTATTTATTGTTGAAAGGCTGAAATGGCCTAGGCTGGAATAGCCTGTTTATTGTTGAAAGGCTGGAATAGCCTGGGCTGGAATGGCCTATTTGTTATTAAACGGCTGGAATGGCCTATTATTACGGCTGGAATAACCTATTATTATTACAGCTGGAATGGCCTATTGTTGTTGAGGCTAGAATGGCCTGTTGTTATTGAGGCTGGAATGACCTATTGTTTATTGAGGCTTGTTATTGTTACGGCTAAAATGGCCTATTATTATTGAGGCTGGAATGGCCTATTATCGAGGCTGAACCTGTTATTGAGGCTGAACCTGTTGTTGAGACTTGTTATTGTTACGGCTGGAATGGCCTGTTATTGGAAGTTATGTATAGCTTCATTTCTTATTGAGTGGACTGGGAGCGTGGCTGCAGGGGAGTGTTGAAATGTGGCCCCCGCGCATCCCAGCCACCATGTTTTTGGCCTCCGCGCATCCCAGCCACCATGTTTTCCAGCCACCTGATTTTGTACTGTATTTAGGACCTGGCCCCGGAGAGGTTTTGGAGAATCAATCCGTCCGTTCTACACATCACATACCTGATATTCTAACAAAGTCGTCGAGGAAATTTTAGCTATATTAAATCTAGATAAAGAAAAAAAATAAGATATAGAGTTTAGAGAATATAAAGTCTATAATAAATACGTTTATTAATATCTATAAGTATATAATTAGTAATAAACTATTTAATAGTCTTATTCGAGGCTTAAAAGTAAATCTTAAGAAGTTTAAATAGCTCTAGAGAGAAACTTATTAATATACTTATACTCTAGAAAATCTAGATTAATAAAGAGATAAATTTATATAATATAGAGTTTTTATTATTTTTAAAAGTAACGATAATTAGCTATTCTATTAACTTTATTATCTATTTATTTATATCTCGCTTAAAAGTCTTTATTTTATTATTAAATATATAGCTAGTAATACTATATTTAAAGTACTCTATAGCGAATCTATTATAGTTACTATTCTTAATTATATATCGTAAAAAGTCTTTAAAGTTATCTTAAAATATTAATTAAAAGATCTTAAAATAATATTATATTTAGATTTTTAGAATATTAAATATAAGCTTAATCGAGTTATAATTAGATAAGTAAGAAGATAGATATTTAACGAGATAGTCTTTAGCGTAAATAGCTTTAATAATATAAGAATTAATATAAATATTAATATTATCTAGAATAATAATATTATACTTAATAAGATACTTATTATATAGCGATAATAATTAGTTTATTAACTAGATAAGAAGATCTTCTTTAAAGTAATAATTCTTTTTAATTTCGATATAGAAGAGATAGTTTTTAGTAATATAGATCGAAAGAATACTATATATATTATCTCTTTTTATATTATTACGATATCGAGCTAGATTATTAATAGAAGTATATATTATAAATCGTTATATCGTTTATAGTTTAAAAAGAAACTTTTTAAAAAAGAATAATTTTTTAATTTTTTTCTAATTTAAAAACACTTATTTTTAAAAAAGATATTTTTTTTTTTTATTTATTTATTTAATTTTTTTTAAAAATTTTTTTTATTTTTTTTAAAAAAAAAAAAAAAAATTTTAAATTATTTAATTTTTTTTTTTTTTTTTTTAAAAAAAATATATTTATTTTTATTATATTTTTTTTTTTTAAAAAAAAAAAAAAATAATAAAATTAATTAAAAAAATAAAAAAAAAAAAAAAAAAAAAAAATTTAAAAAAAAAAAAAAAAAAATAAAAAAAAAAAAAATAATATTAAATATAATTATTTATTTAATTTAAAAAAAAAAAAAAAAAAAATAAAATATTTATTTAATAAAAAAAAAAAAAAAAAAAAAAAAAAAAATTAAAAAAAAAAAAAAAAAAAATTATATTATTTAAAAAAAAAAAAAAAAAAAAAAAAAAAAAAAAAAAAAAATAAAAAAAATATAAAAAAAAAAAAAAAAAAAAAAAAATATTTAATAAAAAAAATTAAATTAAAAAAAAAATAAAAAAAAAAAAAAAAAAAAAAAAAAAAAAAAAAAAAACAATTATTGAGAAGTACAATCTTTATAAATTTTGGTGGGGCTGGCTACCAAAAAATAGAGATGGCGCGCAATCAATTTTGCCAAGCAATCTCGTTGGTTTTGCAACTCATAATTAGCGTACTCAAACCCCTCTGCAATGCTTGGCATGGTCCTGTTGAAATGCATCGACCCAATACATCAAATTCACGACTCTAATACAAGTCGGATCATAAGTAACAAGTCAAACGGCTTTAGAATCGTATGACTATCTATCAATCCTGTAAGTATACCGGGCAAAAGTCGTGCATAGAGTCCTGCAATCATACAAGTTGCTGAAAGAAGGGACGATGCTCAGGTCTTTTCAATTTTGCACACTTTTATGAGTATCCACCAGAATACGTTGGCTATTCATCTTCAAAGTCCCCAAAGGAAAGGGATTCGATATTGTAGCTTCCCCTCACTCACACAGATAATATTTGAGGTTCATTTCGTTATAACTGTCGCATCTTCCGGGCAGCGCACCTCTTGAGCTATACTTTTCCCGGGCAACAATTCAAGCACCTTGTTTCTTCTCATAGTGCTGATTGAACCCCTTTCGCCACGGGTCCAACCTCAATCAGCCATCATGTCTCGTGATCCCATCGTCCGAGCCTTGCACGACTTCACCAGGTACTAGAACACCCTTTAGCCAGACCCTACTCTCAAAGCGACGCTCCTGATATATGTACCACAGCTGCGATGTCGCCGACGCCCTCCTCAAATTGAACCATCCTCATGGTGGTTTCTTGGCCGATCTGTAAGAGATCATCTATTTGTTTAGTCTACATGTATGAATATCTTCAACACGGCTCTGATCCTTGGCACAAGCACAATGTGGTCGCCGAAACGGCAAGATGGGCCTACGAAGGTGATCGGACCGGCATACACGGTAAAGTACGTCCGCAAGAATCACGGCACAGCTCCAACGCATCAGGGGCACTACGTAAGCCGACCTCGCTAGATTATGAGCAATGTTCCTCTGATTTCCTGGCTTTTCTTGCGATTCGATACCTGTCGTTGATGTTCCTTTGATCAACAGATCGATACCATCCCACCCCACTCCATCCTCTTCATCTCCGCCCCCTCCCACACCATCAACGCAGTCTACGGCGGCCTAATGTCCACCCGCGCCCAACACTCCGGCGCTGTCGGCACCATCGTCGACGGCCGCGTGCGCGACTTGCAGGAACACCGGGACCTACAGTATCCCGTCTTCGCGAAAGATGTAGGCACGACGGCACCGCAGGAGGTTCTGCGCGTCGACGAAGTGAACGTGCCGGTGCGGTTGCAGAGCGAGGAGCAAGAAGCGATTGTTTATCCGGAGGATTATTTGATTGGCGATCTGAACGGCGTGGTGTGTTTGCCGAAAGGGTTGGCGGAGAAGGCGGTCGCGTTGATGGCGAGTCAGGTGGAGGCTGATGAGAGGATTGCGAGGGATTTGGCGGAGGGGAGGCCGTTTGGGGAGAGTAGTAAGGAGCATAGAGCTAAGGTGAAGAAGGTCGAGGATCTCTGAAGGGAGGCGGAGGAGGCGAAAAGGGATGCGAGGCAACGTTGGTAGACGCATCATAACTAGATATAGCGTGTTGAGTGTAAGATCGGGGTGGTTGGAAACGTGCCTTGAGCAGGTGCTTGCTGAAACAATGGAAATGAGCAATGAGGGCAGCAATGCAGTATCAAAGCTGACGAGTATCATTTGTAAAACCCCAACGCTTCCACGATGCCGTATCATTGAAGACATCTTTTGCAAACACAGCACGCGGACATATTACACAGCTCTTAGGCTCTCACCCACTCACAGCATCATCTCCAGTGGGTTCTCCACCACTTTCTTGAACTCCCTAATCCACTCTCCTCCAACGGCACCATCTACCACCTTATGGTCAAAGCTTCCGGTCACCACGATCTGATCGTCCCACTCAACTCCTCCATCTTCTGAAGTGGACGGTATCGCGACCTTTTTCGTAGTGCCCACCGCCAAGATACCGGCTTGCGGAGGATTGATGACAGCCGTAAATCGCTCAACCGCTGCGTTCATGCCCATGTTGCTGATCGTGAACGTACCGCCCTGGTACTCTTCTGGCTTCAGCTTTCCATCTCTTGCGCGCTTGCCCAGGTCCTTAACCTGCGCCGAGATACCCTCTAAGCCCAGGCTGTCCACACCCCTGACGATGGGCGTCATAAGGCCAATGGGTGTAGCGACGGCAACGCTGACGTCCACAGTATTATGCTGGCGTATGACGACCTGACCACCAACCTCACGCCAACTTGAGTTCACTGCGGGAATCTTCTTGCAGGCGACGGCGGAAGCTTTGATGAGGAAGTCGTTGACCGAGAGTTTGTATTTTCCGTCTGCCGAGGCATTGAGAGCTTGTCGGAGTTTAAGCAACTTTGTGACGGAGAGAGTCCCGGAAACGAAATAATGTGGATTTTGGTTGAAAGACTGGGTAAGGCGGTTGGCAATGGTCTTTCGCATCGAGCTTGCTGGAATATCTTCGTATGTTGGAGCACCCGCCGCGGCCGCTGTTGGCGCTGCGCTTGATTCAGGCTTGAACTTCTCAATGTCTTGTTTTGTAATCCTGCCACCTGGACCGGTACCCTTGATTTGCTTGATCGGTACACCACGCTCAAGTGCAAGAGCTTTCGCAGAGGGACTGGCTTTAGGCTCACGATCTAAGCTCGTTTCCAGTCTCCCACCCGAAGATTCCGACTCCTGTGGTTCTGGCGGAGGCGCTGACTTTGGCTCGTCTTTGCTAAGGGTATCGGGCGACGTCTTCGACCCTGAGTCTGAAGGCTCGGAGGATTCTGCTGCCTCTTCCTTCGGCGCATCTTTCGGTGGTGCTTTCTCACCTCCTGCATCATCGAGACTGAATGACTCGAAAGCTGAGACATCTCCACCCTCTTCAATCATAACAGCAATTGGCTACATAGATGTCAGCGCAGGTCAATGCAAGAGTATTTTTGACTAACATTCCCAACCGCAACGTCTTTCTCGCCAGAGTCCTTCAAGATCTTGGCAAGCACACCGTCTTCTTGGAATTCGAAGTCCATTTGCGCCTTATCTGTCTCAATCTCTACCAGCACATCTCCTGGCGCAATTGCATCTCCCGCTTTTTTCTGCCATGTCCCAATATTTCCCGCTGTCATCGTAGGTGATAATGCTGGCATGCTAACGACTGTATGAGGAGGAAATGCTGCAAATATACTGTTAGCTGGTTGTACCCAGTAAAGGCCGGGCTTTTGGAGTTTACATTTCGAGGCATAGAGACGGGCGAGGGCGGACAGGGCCGGTATGTATCTACCACACATGATCGTATAAGTCAAAGGTAATCTAAGCTAAGCCAACTATGCACCTTGTAGATTGGACGGGGTTATAATTCACCTTGATGCATTCTGTGACCGTGTCAGAGCTGAAGCTCCAAGCGAGCTAGATGGAGCTCGGAGGCATGCTCGCACCGGAGCGCGGAGCAAAACAGAGGCAGCCATTGCAGGCCAAGATGTGAGGTTGGCTCAGGAGAAATGGGAGGTTATAATCAAGCATGCATATACATTCCAGACATTATACAAAAGGAGAATGCTGACTGGGTTGCCGTCAAGTATGTAGAGGATTGAAACTTCTCGGTGATTTTCCTAGAGCATGCTGGGCGGCCTTGGCATCAGCCATGGCAAAATGTTTCGCCGAAGACCGATCGCCGTGACCAATCAGCGATTGGACAGCTCTTGTCTTGAAGAATTGTACAGACTCACCAGGCATCCGATACGACACTCTATTGCCACGGAACTTTGCTCTACCCGCTACATCCCTCCTACGTAACATTTGAAAGCTCAATGCGGAATCGGAAGGTCTCCAGGAGAGCAAGAGCTATAGTGGCTGCCTGGGGCTCAGATCTCTCCTATGGCGGACAGCGAGCAAATCGCACCATCAGCTGAAGCCAACGTTGCCAAGGACCCCAATGAAGCTGTTTCCGAAAGCTCTGGAGCTCAATACCAAAGCTTGGCAGGCGACAAGGAAGAGCTGCAGTATGGGCAAAGTTGGAAAGAGATAGAAGTGGCGGAGACACCAGAGGAAGATAGGAACAATATCAATGGCTTGACTGAGCCTCCTGAAGATGAGCAGAATAACCCAGACGCCGCCGAGACATCTTCGCAGCAAACTCAGGAGCCTCTATCTCCGTCGGCCCCTCAATTACCGGAAAAGGACGAGCAAGGTCAGCCTCCGCCTCAAGACAGAGAGGAGGAGCAACCTACAACGGCCTCAAAAAGCATAGGCTCACACCCATCCACGACGACTATGAATGGCACAACGATACATCAGCGGTCTGATAGTCAGTCCACGCAAGCTACGAATGGTACGACTGCTGTCCGGCGATCCTCGGCACCTTTGAGCTCCATCGTCTTTGTTGTCTCAGCTTTGGATCAGATTGCAGCGTCAAAAGAAGCTAGGAAGAAGAAAGAGCTCGGAGACGCCGCACAGAAGGCGTTGGATGCTATCAAAAGATTGGATGGCTCGCCACCTCCCGAGGTCATCTTCGAACCTCTGCGACTGGCGACAGAGACATCTAGTATACCATTGACTACGACGGCGCTTGACTGCATAGGAAAACTTATTAGCTACTCCTACTTCTCCGTACCCCCCGGAGTCCAAGACCCTAATGCTCCGCCTAGCTCCCACCAGCAACTCCCCTTAATCGATCGAGCGATCGAAACGATCTGCGACTGCTTTCAGAACGAAGCGACGCCATACGAGATACAGCTCCAGATTGTAAAATCTTTGCTGGCAGCTGTCTTGAATGACAAACTTATTGTTCATGGGTCGGGTCTCTTGAAGGCTGTCCGCCAAGTCTACAACATTTTCCTACTCTCAAAGTCGAATACAAACCAGCAAGTGGCACAAGGAACACTGACTCAAATGGTGGGTACAGTCTTTGAGCGAGTCATGACGAGACTGTCAATGAAAGAGGCTCGGTTGAATCTGGCAAAAATTGGTTCGGAGAAAGGTACTTTAAACGGCAGCACAGTCGAAATCAACGGTAGCAGCTCCGTCTTGGAATCAGGGGAGGGAGACGCCAATCCTGAGCCGGACGGAGTCTCCGAAGCCAACTCAACATGGAACTCGGATCAGCCGGTCCCAAAAGAGCCAGGAGAACGATTGACTCTGCAGAGCTTGGAAAATGCTAAGAGCTTCGACGATAGAAGGATTGGCGATAACGCCCCCACGATGGTGACACCAGCAAAATCAGCCCAAAAGCGAGCTGCCTCGGGACAAGCTTCTACAAATGGTGACGAAGAGCACGGCAGACCCGAGACTCCGGACGAAGACGAAGAGGATGAAATCTTCGTGAAAGATGCGTTTCTAGTATTCAGGTCCATGTGCAGGTTAAGCCACAAAGAGCTGCCACCAGATCAGCAGCAAGATATCCACTCCTCGAACATGCGCTCAAAGATGATATCACTTGCCATTATCCGTACGACTTTGAATAACAACATGGCCGTTTTTACGTCACCGCTGTGTACCATACGAGGCACGAACAATGAGCCCACCAGCTTTGGCCAAGCCATCAATCAGTATCTCCGCCTGAGTGTGAGTAGGAATGGGGCAAGCTCCGTCAGGCGAGTATTCGAGATAACCGCAGAGATTTTCTGGTTGATGCTAAAAGACATGAGAGTCGGTCTCAAGGTTTGTCTTCTTTCAATGTGTCTGGGCGAACTATCACTGACTTGGAGCAGAGGGAAATCGAACTGTTTCTGAAAGAGATCTATTTGGCTATACTCGAGCGCAAGAACGCCCCAAGCTTCCAGAAGCTCTATGTCATGAAGATCTTAAAAAGATTATCCACAGACCCGAGAGCCTTGGTTGAAATCTACCTCAACTATGACTGTGAATCAACAGCACTTGATAACATGTTTCAAAGATCGATCGAACACTTGTCCAGATTGTCCGGCATGTCCGTCCCGCCCGCCATCGTATCACCCCAGCAGCAGCAACAGTATCAAGATCAGTACACCAAGGAAAGTGATGCTGATCTTGATTGGCATGACCATGGAAAACTCCCACCCTCCTTGACGACCGCCAGTCTCAATGCTCCATGGAACCATGAGTGGGATCTACCGGTGGACTTTCTACTGAAGCAGCAAGCCTTGGATTGCTTAGTCCGGACACTTCGATCACTTGTCAACTGGTCTCAAGATAGCCTTGCCGCAGGCGCTGCAAAATTGCATGACATGGAGTTGCAGGATCCCAGGGATCGGTTTAGAGAATCTCTAGAGCGCCTTCCAGCAGCCGGCTCTCCAAGGATGTCCACAGCAGGCACGCCTATTGCTCCTTCAACGCCACTCCTCGAGGATGATCCTATGCAGTTGGAGAAAGCCAAGCATCGAAAGACTGCACTCAACAACGGCATTCGTCAGTTCAACTTCAAGCCAAAGCGTGGAGTCAAACAATTGATCACGGACGGATTCATCAGGAGTGACTCCCCTGAAGACATTGCCGCCTTCATCCTACAAACCGAGGCTCTGGACAAGGCAATGATCGGCGAGTACCTTGGCGAAGGTGAAACACAGAACATAGCCATCATGCATGCCTTTGTGGATTCGATGGACTTTACAAGGAGAAGATTTGTTGATGCATTGCGGCAGTTTCTACAGAGTTTCCGTCTTCCAGGAGAGGCGCAGAAGATTGACCGCTTCATGTTGAAGTTTGCAGAGCGTTACATTACCGGCAATCCAAATGCGTTTGCCAATGCTGACACAGCCTACGTCTTGGCATATTCCGTGATCATGCTGAATACCGATCAGCATAGTGTCAAATTGAAAGCTCAAAGAAGAATGACTGTTGATGATTTCATCAAGAACAATAGAGGCATCAATGATAATGCCAACTTACCGGACGAGTACCTTTCTGGCATCTACAGCGAGATTGCAGAAAATGAGATTGTTCTGAATACAGAGCGTGAAACGGCTGCAGCTCTTGGCATGATGCCTCAACCTGCTGTGGGTGGTATCGCCTCAAGAGTTGGACAGGCTTTTCTTCAAGCTGGTCGAGATCTGCAGAGAGAGGCTTATGCCCAAGCCTCGGAGGAAATGTCGAAAAAAGCAGAACAGAGACTTCGCAATATGATACGATCACAACGGAAAACGACTGTGAAGAATGTAATGCCGAAGTTCATTCCAGCTACTTCATTCAAGCATGTTGGCCCAATGTTCGATGTTACCTGGATGTCGTTTTTCTCTGGACTTTCTGGTCAGATGCAGACCACTCAGAACATTGAGGTCATCAAACTCTGCATGGAGGGCCTCAAGCTCGCTATTCAAACCGCTTGCTTGTTTGACCTCGACACTCCTCGAACAGCCTTTGTGACCGCACTTGCCAGCTTCACGAACCTTGGTAATTTGAGCGAAATGATGGCAAAGAATCTCGAAGCGCTGAAGGTGCTCATCGAAGTCGCTCAATCGGAAGGAAACATGCTCAAAGGATCATGGCGAGACGTCTTGACGTGTGTAAGCCAGCTGGATCGATTCCAGCTAATCTCTGGGGGGTCGACGAAGGCGTTGTCCCTGATGTCAACAGAGCTCGGATTCAGAGAGCACCCGCAAATACGTCTCGACGACAGCCTAATCGCCCACGGCCAGCTGCAATCGCGAACAATTCCAGCTACCACATTGAAATAGCTCATGAGAGTCGATCATCAGATATGATCAGAAAGGTGGATCAAATCTTTACGAGTACCGCCCAATTGTCTGGAGATGCTATTGTTCATTTTGTACGCGCGTTGAGCGAAGTCAGCTGGCAGGAAATCCAATCTTCAGGCCAGAGCGACTCGCCACGGACTTACAGCCTCCAAAAACTCGTCGAGATAAGCTACTACAACATGACTCGTGTCAGATTTGAATGGTCGAACATCTGGCAAATACTTGGCGATCACTTCAATGAGGTTGGATGTCATTCGAACACTCATGTAGTGTTCTTCGCGTTGGACTCATTGCGACAATTGTCAATGCGATTCATGGAGATTGAAGAACTGCCAGGGTTCAAATTTCAGAAGGACTTCCTCAAACCTTTTGAGCACGTGATGGCGAACAGCTCTGCAGTGACGGTCAAGGATATGGTCCTCAGATGCTTAATACAAATGATCCAAGCGAGAGGACAGAACATCCGATCTGGATGGAAGACAATGTTTGGGGTCTTCACCGTCGCAGCTAGAGAACCATATGGTAAGATCTCAAGTGCGATTTGCTCATATTACCGTTGCTAATTTGAGCCGCAGAGACAATTGTAAATCTCGCCTACGACCACGTTACTCAGATTTACAATACTCGCTTCGGAGTTGTCATCTCGCAAGGCGCTTTTGCCGACCTTGTCGTCTGCTTGACAGAGTTTTCTAAGAATCTCAAGTTCCAGAAGAAGTCTCTAGCGGCCATCGAAACGCTGAAGTCCACTGTTCCGAGAATGCTCAGGACTCCGGAATGCCCCCTTTCGCATCGCATAAAGCCAATCACCAACGGAGTCAGCGAGGAAAGAGACGCTCTTCCCAAAGCGATCAGCAGGCAGACTCAGGAAGAACAGTTCTGGTTCCCTGTCTTGTTTGCGTTCCACGACATCCTTATGACTGGCGAGGATCTGGAGGTTCGATCAATGTAAGTCTTGTGAAATCTACGTCTTTGCCTACACTAACACCCAACGAAGGGCTTCAAACTATCTCTTCGACATTCTGAAAGAGTATGGTGGTGATTTCCCTCCAGATTTCTGGGACATACTTTGGCGCCAGCTGCTTTATCCCATCTTCATGGTGTTGAAGTCCAAGTCCGAGATGAAAAATGTCTTAAACCACGAAGACTTATCTGTATGGCTCTCGACTACCATGATTCAGGCCTTGCGCAACATGATCACCCTCTTCACTCATTACTTCGAATCTCTGGAATACATGTTGGACCGCTTCCTCGACCTGCTGGCCTTGTGCATATGCCAGGAGAATGATACCATCGCCCGCATCGGAAGCAATTGCCTGCAGCAGCTCATATTGCAAAACGTGACGAGGTTTCAACCTGAGCACTGGAGCAAGATAGTGGGTAGTTTTGTCGAGTTGTTCGAGCGCACGACGGCGCATCAACTCTTCTCCGCAGCCACGACTTCCTCCGATTCTTCTAGTATTGCCGAGGACGAGAGCGTTCGAAAACCGTCTGTAGCAGAAGTCTCAACCATCAAAGACTTACCTTTGACTACCTCGCCGACTATCTCGACCTTTGCCAGCGCTGGGCCCGAGGCTACGAAGCTGGACAAGGCTCACTATGCGCCCAGTGAAAGCGACGAGGCTACTTTGGCTGAACAGTCCATGCGCTCAAGAGCAGGCTCAACGCGTACTAACATTTCGCCACCACCTACCCCTTCTGCAGCAAATGCCGAGCTCGAAGACTACCGTCCACAATCCGGTCTCCAGCAACAGCCCATAGTAGTCACAGCAGCGCGTCGCAAATTCTTCAACAAGATCATCACCAGATGTGTGTTGCAACTGCTCATGATCGAAACCGTCAATGAATTGTTTTCTAATGATGCAGTGTATGCTCAAATACCAAGCTCAGAGCTGTTGCGACTGATGGGACTCTTGAAGAGTAGCTACACCTTTGCAAAGAAATTCAACAACAACAAGGGTCTGCGGATGAGGTTGTGGAGGGAAGGCTTTATGAAGCAACCTCCAAATCTCCTCAAGCAGGAAAGTGGGAGTGCTGCCTGCTATGTCAATATCTTGCTGCGGATGTACCACGACGAAGGTGAGGAGCGTAGAAGAAGCCGCGCCGAGACAGAGGCTGCACTGATACCGTACGTCACCTTCTTCCGTCTGAAACAATACATACTGACCTGTTGCCGCAGTCTGTGCGCCGACATCATTCGTTCATTCGTCCTTCTCGATGAAACACAACCGCGCAATATCGAAGCCTGGCGCCCTGTCGTGGTCGACGTCATGGAGGGCTATACCAACTTTGCCCGCGATGACTTCGAAAGACATATCGAGACCTTCTACCCGCTGGGCGTAGACCTGCTCAACCGGGAGCCCGGATCGGAAATACGAGTGGCGTTGCAGGCGCTCTTGCGGCGTATAGGGGAGATCAGGATGGGCATGCAACCGAGGGAACACACGCCAGTGCAGACGCCGACGAGTCCACGGAGCACGAGTGGTGCGTATTTTGAAAGGAGAAGAGGAAGTCGAGGGCGATAGGCGGGAAATTGGGAGCATGAAAAGGTTAATCTTGAGGGAGTAATGTATTCGTCGTGTGTGTATCGCGCTTTAGCGTCCTGTTGAGCGAGACATGGATATGGGTCTTTCTGTATACCGGCTCTCTTCTGGCTGGTGGAAAATAAGGGTTCATCATCATTGCTTGTAATGAAAGTTAGAAGGATGGCGCTTATAGACTCGTGCGACGAACGATATTTGGACTTTCTCGCTAATCCAGGAAAGTCTCTATATTTCTTCTATGCAGCGTCCATTCCTCCGCAACTATATCTACAGCGGATTTCATGTGCATCGGAATAGTCATACTGAGCACACAGCACACGATTGCAGGCTCAGTCGGCCTTCAAGGACCCCACACGCGAGAGTCCGACAAGGAGCGTGTATTAGCGTGTGCAGAAAACGTTGGAATACTTGGCACTGAGAAAATCACACACACCACCAAAAGTAGTACTGAATAGATGAATCTTCTCCCATATCGCATTCTACCACCTTCCTCATCATATTTGAAGCTGCTGTATATCTCGCTTAGCCGATCCTTGGTGTTTTGCCTTAGTGTTTCGAAATGCCTTCCAATCGACGCAGTCAGGGGTCCCCCTCTCACTACCGACCTCCCCTCCGGCCAGACAGTTTAAGAGGCCTAAGAAGGCGTCCTCCCGTGTCTAAGCGATTGCTGAGGATAGTCAGCCGGGCCCTAGCAACAGTCAGCCAAGCGTAGCTACCCCCGCTCCCAGACCTGAAGACCCTCGTGTCAAAGCCGGTCGACGAGTTATTACCTCACTGCGGTGTCTTCCCAGCCTATTGTAGTGTTATTGTCATGGATAATGCTAGTATACACTATCCGCTATCCTATCGAGGAGGTAATCCGTTAGCATAGTTGCGAGGTCCGATATCTGCCTCCTTACTTACCAGATTTCAATCCCATCGAGCTCTCTTTTAGCGTCTTAGAGTATAAATTTGAAGATACTTTCACGAGATATAACCTCAGTTCTAAGGGAACTTTAATGATTTCTTACGATATACCGTGAGGGGAGTCGATGCGATCGCTTTCCGAGGGAGTATTTTAAGCATAGTGCTATAGGAGGCTATATTTTTAAGACGAATATAAGGGAGTTAAATAGGGCTCTTAATGAGTGCGATATTTAATAGATTTTGAAGATTAAACTACATTTGCTACTACTGCTGCTACTACCCCAGAGTTATTAAGACCTTCGCCTATCGCTATTAAGGCTTAAATACCTTTAAGTCTATTTTAAAGCCTCTGGCTAAAGTATTAGAAACCCTCAATTGTATAGCAATATAATATATAGTGAAGAAAGGTGATAGAATGCGATATAGGGAGATTTATCTATTCAGTACTACTTTTAATGATATATGTGTGATTTTTCAGTCCAGTATTCCAACTTTTCTCCCGCTAATAGACCAGACCACACGAGATTTCACCACTTTCGAGAACGCTTCATGGCTTTACGTTACGTCTGGAATCCGTAAAGAATTGGTCCGGATAGGCTTCAAGCTCATCCGTAGTCCTAGCGGCGGTCGACAGGTCCGGTCGAGCGTGGAATGGGGGGGGCATAGGAAGAAGTAGCGGGTTGCAGAGATGAGACGTGCCAAGCCTCGCTAGCTAAGGCCCTTCGAGTTAGCTTGGCATGTCTGAGGCCAGATGGGTTGGTGAATGTCATCAATGTTCCTACTTATCTCAACTTCCACCTCGCTCATACCCCGTCTATATGCAGAGATGTCCGTCACCTTTGAGGCTCTACAGGCAACGCTGGCGTAATCTGCTTCAACTCGCCGGCGCCAAGTTGGAAAGCCTAACTAACCAAAGCAGTTTGCGGCTGTACCACAACTACGATACTAGTCGGTCTCTCCGTGTACTTGAGTAGTATGTTTCTTCTTTCTGGGCGGTTTTTGGTCATTTGAAATGTGACACATCTGCAGCAAATAGAGTAAGCCTGTGATCGACCTCGTCTCTTTCTTTCCCGAATCCCGGATACCCTCATCCGCTCCTTCCACACATTGGTCTAGAACTGCTAGCATGAAAGCCTCAGTACAAGCTTAAGCGCAGAGGTTTCGGTATAGTTTGAGTGTCTACCGCTTCGAGGGGGCTTGGAGGTACTGGAATCTCTGAGGTACTGCTGTCACTACTTCATCAAGGAGTTGTTCTATTGCTGCACCGTCTTCACTCGCTCGATCGAACGACAGTACACGTGGGGGAGGAGTAGATCCCATTGGTCTAACAGGCGGGGTATTTGAATGTTCTAGCCGATTTGAGTAGGGCTTTTCTTGACCCTTCGGGCCAAACATTCGCCACAGACGCCATCTATTCGTGATCTGTGAAGGCGAAGGGCCCAAAGAAACAGCAGCATCCTCACTATCGGAACCTGGATCAGGCCACCTCTGAAGATTACTGGCAAAGGCATGAGCTTCGCTTATCCAGCTATCGCTGATTCCTGTGGAAAAGTTCGGTTTGTTCCAGGTTACTGTCGACATAGGCTGATCTCCGCGGTCGAGTGACACAATCGCCCTCCGGACTGGATAGGGCTCGGTCGCCCAGAGTGCCTGCCCAGAGAGGTTCGGTATCGGAAAAAGTGGGAAATCATTTCAAATATTGGCCATGGCTCCTCGCATTTAGAGCACTCAACTTGCAGAGACGCATGCAGTGATAAGGTGGTGAAACTCTTCACCTCGATTGATTCGAGGGCGCACGTGAGGTTAGCGTTGCACGTGCACCCAGTCTATCGCAGAAAAGACCTCTTAAGATCAGATGCATGCCAATCTAGATCGCGTCCAGATCGCCGCCGCTTCGAATTATTGTCCAGGTACGAACTCCCCCAGAAAGCGGTACCTAGTCCTGTCACGCAATCGAGTCGAGATTCCCCTCGCTAAATCTGCATGATTGTCTGGGTGTCCGTATGCAGGTCCTGCCGTTCCTGCAGCCTATCATATACATTCCATTTCGCCATAATCCCTGCACCTGCCCGATAGGGAAAGCGTGGTGCGCCTGACAGCTGACAAGTGCTGATCTGTGGAAACGTCAAACGTCAACTCAACAACGGGCGCAGAATACCGTAATATGTTTATGTAAATTTCGGACCGCTTTTGCTATCTTTCTTGTCGCTTTTGCATTCTATTGCTCAAGCCTTATCATGGTTGTTAAACATTGCCGAGGATCGCTGGTAGGTGGCGCGACAAAATCGCCTGTATGGGAACCTAATACTGCGCCACGGTGAATGGGACGCAAATTTTGCTCGCGTTTTGCTTGCATGTCTAGAAGAAGAACATCAAGCGCCACGTTTCTCGTCTGGCAAAGATGTTGCTCACATCTAATTCTTGCGCTCTGCAGCATCGGTGAATTGGATGGTTTCTTTGAAAAAAGCAATCATCCACGCAGCCTATTGCTGGACAAGGATTAGATCTGAATCACGCAATATCATGATCTCCATAGGGCAAGGAATGATTCTCAAGTCTGGCGCTGTCAAATCAGCGGGAGGGCGCAACGACGCGTGCCGCCATCGCTTCGACCTTCGATTCTACGTCGGAGCATCTGGGAACATGAGCCAATGGGAAGGCTGATTACTCGCATGCGGCGCAGATTTACTAAAGGACCGATTCCTCCCCTAAACGACCCCCAAGATGACACCCAAAACAACGCCCAAAACCTCCCTTGGAGTTGATCATATGTCGTAGGTTAACATCGCCACTATTTGAGGTTGACATTTAACGAACTTCTTCCGGGCTACTATGCCAGACCCAAATGGCGGGATCTAATGCTGCAAGTTCCTGACCCTCTCATTGCATTTTCCACTACTCCACCACGCAAATCCATTTGACGCTACCGCCCTCCTTAATGGTGAGCTCTAATGTTGCAGGTTTCTCGTTCGCTTGTACCATTTTCCCATATTCCATCAGGTATCGGTAACATCGACTGCCGATCATCGTTTGTACCGCGTCCTCTTGTATTGTCCACCCATACTCCATCAGACATCGGTGAAATTGACCGCCGATCTTCCTTGTAATATTTCAGCAAACGACCAAAGGTGACGACTGGTCTTGAGCGACCGATGCCTCATAAGGCATCAGCCATCAGCCATCCACCATCCAAGCGAGCAATCATGGCACGCCATGGGAAATGTTGTAGTCGCCCGAGGGAGTCCAGGTGAGGAATTGCGGAGATGGCATGATTGTCAAGACCGAGGAGAACGGAACATGTAGTATGTATGGAATCACCAACGAGAACCGGCATTCTTTTCCCCTCAATTACTCCACCCAGCTTTACTATAAGGCTCGGTTGTCTCCGATCATGTTCCCCACCCTCTGTCTGCCTTTGAATTTTTGTCACTTCATCAAAGCATTATATGGTCATCTGATCTGGGGACTAATTGTCTTCAACTTCCTCAGATAAAATATGGATTCCTTTGTGGACATCACCTCTTACGGCCATGGAGCGTTCAAGGTCACCATCGTCGCGGCAGTATTAATCGTCATGCAAATCTTGATGGTGGGAGGGCGATTCGTCTCACGAAAGTTGCGAAAGGTTCCCCTTGCAGCAGATGACTACGTGCTGTTAACTGCAGCCATCCTCACCGTCGGACTATGCGCGCTTGCTCTGGCCTGTAAGTCCCATTAGAGACGATTACCGCGAGGCAGAGGCTCCAAGTATTCTGGACCGAGAAGCGGCTGATTCATTTGGCACAGTCCCAAGGATAGGAGGTATCGGAGCTCCCATTGTGATAACACAGATGGAGGAGTTATCGGAAGGCAAGGTCCTCGGCCAGGTGAGCTCACGAAATCCCCTCATCGCCAAACCGCTGACGAAGTGCCCAGAGCTTCATGGCCTGGTTGATCCTCTACGGCCTCTCCATCGCGCTGTCCAAATGTGCCATCCTCCTCCTCTACCTCCGGGTCTTCACGACAAGCAACAAAGCATTCACCACCTGCGTCTACCTGACGGGCTCCGTCGTCGTCGCCACCGGCATCGCCAACACCTTCGCGGCCCTCTTCCAATGCTCCCCCGTCGCCTACGCCTGGAACAAGTCCCTCCCAGGCGGGCACTGCATCGACGAGGTCGCCTTTGCACGTTCCATGACGCTCCCAAACGTCGTCACCGGAGCCATCATGCTCGTCGTGCCCTTGCCCCTGTCGTGGAGGTTGAACCTCACCCTTTCCGCTCGCGTCGCGTTGACCGCGACTTTCTTGCACGGAATCATGTACGTCGGTCCACTTGTGACACCCACCCGTCAGAGAATCATGACTCACGCCTCCAGCAGTGGCTTCGTCGCCAGCTGCGCCCGCCTCATCATCTTCTTCCGCACCAACCCGTCCGCCTTCTCAAACGGTAAGCCTTTCCCCCCTGGCCACCCACACAGCCCTGACACCCCCCCCCGGCAGACACCTCCCTCGTCTGGACCATCTGGACCATCAACGAGCCCGCCAACTACATCATCGCCGCCTCCCTCCCCACTCTCCGGCCCCTCTTCCTCCTCCTCCTCCCTCCTCCTCCCCTCCTCCTCCTCCCTCGTCATCCTCGCCAACCCCGCCGCGCAAAAGATGCCGCCGTGGCCCCCGACGCGGTGGGGAGGAGCCGGGGCCCGTGGATGAACGCGGTGGGAGGGGCGGTGGTGGTGGATGGGGTGGTGGTGGTGGTGGATGGTGATGGGGGCGTTGGGGACGGGAACGGGCGGCGAAGGGCGGTGATGCGGGCGCCGGGGTGTGAGGAGGGGGGTTGGTGGTGGAGACGTTGGTTCGGGTGAGTGAGGGGGAGGGGAGGGCTTTTTGAGTTGGGCTGGCGGAGTGATTTGTTTTTTTCTTTCTGTTCGTGCTTCGTTTGTCAATCTGGATCGGTGGATCGGATTCGCTTGGAGCATGGGTGTTTTTTTTTTTTTTTTTTTTTTTTTGGCTTTTTTGGAGCTGACCGCTTTCGGTGCTTGTAGTGTTGTCGGCCGAGACGGTCGTTGGTGTTTGAGGATGTGGCGGAGGATGGGGATGGGGGTAGGTTTTCGCTGCTGCAGGGGTGTGTTTTGGGTTTGGTGGGTGTGGATGGGGATGGGGATGGGGTGGGTGTATAGTTGGGGTTGGGAAGGGGAAAGGGGGAGGCGGGGTTGTATGAGTAGGGCAGGGATGAGTTATGGGTATGAATGATTTTGAGATGTATGATTGGATGGGGTTTGAGCTGGGGGGGTTTTCATCAATGTAGTTGGTGGACTTGTGTTCAATCTGACGCTGCATTTTCATGACCATCGTGACTCATCCTGATGACCTTTTCGCTTTTTCTACCGCATCGGTGTACTTCCAACCACCCTCCAGTAAGCAAGCAAGCTAGCTGGAAGCCCACATCTACCAGCCCTGGCTACTCCGTCTCCATCTCAAGAAGAAGGCACCTTCCTCATGGCCTCAATATCCTCCTCCGGCAACCGCCTCTGCATCCCCGTGTTCGCCACCTGCCCCGTCAAGCTCGCCTGCGCCACCTCCTTCACGAAGCCCAAGGTGCCCACCGTGGCCTTCCAGTAGCTGATGTACTTGGCCCGGAGCTCAATGATGGCCATGCGCGGGTCCTCGGCCGTGCCGTTGTGCACGCCGTCGCCCAGGTCGCCGAACCAGGCCGCCGTGCCTTTGGAGTAGAGCTCCTTGATGCGCGGGTCGTCGTTCGCGGTCGTGACCACGGTGCCGGTGACGGAGACCCAGTCTTGGGAGGAGGAGTTTTGGAAGGTGAGCTGGGCGGTGGGGTCGCCGGCCAGGTCGGAGAATTTGTTCGAGTGCGTGTTGGCGAGGAAGAGGAAGTCGGGTCCTTCGCGCTGCGGGTTGGGGAACGGATGTGTTAGCTTGAGGTCGGGAGTGTATTGGCTTTGTATGTGTGTGTGGTGTATGGATGGATGTATGGATGTATGACCGGAGGGTTGTCCATGGACGTTAGGTAGGTGTGAGAACAGAGCGTGTGTGGCTTACCTTGGCTACGGCCATGGCGCGAGCGACGGGACCGATGCCGTCGCGGATGGTGGTCAGGAGGCCAATCTTCATGCCGTCGACCGTCTTGTAGAAGTCCTCGATTTGCTGCTTCTTGGGCGTTTTGTCATCCCATTGATTGGCGACGGTGGGGTCGGTCTTGGAGTCGACGTGGGACTCTTTGAGTGGGTCGGGCATGGTGAGGGTAGATGTTGTGGTGAAGGTTCTGTGTGTGAGGGGTCTGTGTCTGGTGGATTGAGTGATGGGTGTGAAGGATGTTTTGAGGAGGAGTAATGAGGTTGAAGATGAGAAGAGTGAGGGTTTTCGGAATAAGAGCATTAAGAGGGAGGGGATGATGATGATGGGAGTGAGGTAATGTTCATGAGGGGTGCCAAGTAAATAATCACATCATTACTTTGTTGTACATCAGTCTCGGAATCTACATTTTAGGGGGGGCGGACATTATTTTGCCGAGCCGATTCCGTCATAACCCCCTAGACCTTGTACATCTTTTGATCGAATAAAGTAATGTTTTAATGATTTAATGATTCAATGAATATGTAATGATAATTGACTTTATCTATGGAGGCGGCAAGGTCGGCTGCCGCCATCGCCGAAAAGTGAAAGTATAAGTAGCCCGAAACATGGTCTAGTAGCTTCTAAGATCCCGTCATAAAGTATGTTTCAATCCACCCAATCCCTTGTTGAGTATCACGTGTCATCATGTACTCTACCTACTCACAATCTGCTCCCTGATCGAAACTTGAGCACTGCTATCAGACTACCTCAAGGCTACGTACACGTAGAGTGTGAAATGAACAAGCCAGTCTTTACTTTGAAAGCTCCACGTTGACGACAGCCTCCGCCCTGTCGCCAAAACAAAGCCCGAGCTTGCGCGCTGCCCCAAGAAACATACACAAAGGAAATGTTCGGAGGTTGAGAAAGATGATTGGAGTCAGGGTGCCAAATGCAAGGCTGTCACACGAACTTGCGAAATACTGGAAGGATGATTGTGATTGGCGGGCAGACGAAGTGTGACCCTTACCCATCCACGGACTCTTCCATTACCCATTGTCCGGGCTTATCGCCCACAGACCTTCCTGCTAACAAAGGCAAAGATCAGTAAGGGTTCAAATATCTTGAAATGAACATACATGGTCCAAACCACGGCACACAAATCTTCCACCTCGCACACCCATCCTCCCCACTTCCTCCTCCTCCTCCTCCTCCTCCTCCTTCTCCACCCCCAACACCACCCCACCCACTCTTCGTTTAAAGATGGCTCGGCTCCTGCTTCGAAGTCCGCAAGATCATCAGCTGTCTCCCCACACCTTCCTCACTCAATGCACATGTATTTCACGTCAGACTAACAAGTATGTCGAGCTTCGGCACGGGTGATGCACCAAAGAAATCCGGACTCCTTACCGCCGTCATCCGCTTAGGATCCTCATGGTAGATCTACTAGGATCTGGGAAACTCGTAGCGGAAGGTAGAGACTAAGGCCCAATTCATCGCGCGAACTCAGGCTCTACAATACTCGCAGCATGTACCGGCGTATCATTGCAATTCCGTCTTCTGCGGTCCGCCAGCTTGGTACTAAAGCTCCCCTCACACTGGGACGGCTAATGTTGAAATCATACTTATATACGAAGCGCGAGAAGCTAGGGTTAGAGATGCTTCAATACTAGATGAAATAGGGAAACGGGTTGTTGAAACAGCAGTCCAATCGCCCGCGCAGTTTGGGATCTGGATCGGGGATTCCCCTATCAGACTGCAAGCATGGGCCGTGGAGACGTTGCACGACTGGATGGATGTCGCCAAGTAAACCATGCCCGATAATGAGGTGTTGACGATTGTGATGGTGCATGCAAGGTGTCACGCCTGGGCTGCGGTATCACAAAGCTGCGTGCCAAGAGTCCGGGCCTACGAATACGAGAAATGCGTTTAGAACATGCTCGGCAATGGCGCTCAGTGTCAGTGGTTATCCAAGAGAGGTTGCTATTCCTCCCTATGAACTGGATGCAAACGATTGCCAGTATTCAGTTCTAAAAGAAACTCGTTGTTCTTTGCAGTCTGAATCACACTCGCCGAGCTGAGAGGAGGTGAAAGTAGAGACATAGGAAGATAGATAGGTAAGGACATGGTCCGAAACTTGTTCGCGCCAAAAACTGGATTGGGGGCGCAATTGGGGGGTCAGTAGAAGATATGCGAAGGTGTCCTCAGATATTAGCGTTGGCGTGCGTGTACTCAATATTGGGCAGCACGAGAAAGAGCGCCGCAAGATCGAAGATTGGCTTTCTCCTATTGACTTCAGATCTAGACAACAGGAGGTCCTGAGAGGCGCGCAAACCGGCTCCCCTCGAATGGCTCTAAGATTCTGAGAAGTTTGGACGACGTGGATGGGGTCGCTATCTGGGGATGGACACGTTCCATCAAACGGGGGCCAGCGTGTGGGTTGCTTGATCCGTTGGCGCTCCGTTGCATGTTTCATCGTCTCCCAAATTTTCAGATGCAAAATGATGGTCAGCGCAAATGAATGCCGGCGTATAAATGCGCGACGGGGAGCGGTCATCATGCATGAAAAGTCCCTTCAGCCGAATTGGTGGTTCGTTGCCGTAATCAGACTAGCGTTGACACGTGATTGACGTAACAGTGCAGAGACCCGCATCCAAGCACTCAGCTCTTCTTATACTCGGCTTATTCTCTTATTCTCCTCAACACATTAACCCTAGTGGTGAACCACAGTAACTGCTAAATCCCCCTTAAATCAGCTGCCTTGATGCGAATCAAGCGGCCTCCCAAAAATCCGATGAGCGAATGTCGGCGCTTCTCCCGTTTCTTGCATTGCGTATAGACGGCGAGATTGAAGGCGTCCAAACGTTTCTTAGAGACGACGCTTCCCGTCGCTGCCCTTAGAGCGCCAACGCACTGTTTGTCACCACCTGACCGGCGATGGAATATGTGATGACCTTCCATGTGCCGCCAGCATAATCCATCTCTCTGAGACCGCAGCGCGAGGAGTTCAGGCCGAGGTCTTCGCCTACCTCCGGGACTCCTTTCTCGCCCACCGAGGCATTGCGTCCATCTCATGGCCTTGCCTCAAGACCGCTGCGTTCCAGGTAGCTACCCTCTTGCGCGAGCCTTTGGGCTCCGTGATCCGGATTGCTTCCGCAAGATCGAACCGCCAGCCGTGCATCCTTCAGGGGCAAGGAGGTCATGTCAGAGTGAAATTGCTATACGAAATGATCGATTCGATTATGTTGATTTCGTGATCGCTCACGGTGTAGACATCGATGCCGGAGGCAACGATCTTTTCACAATGGTGATGAGATGCGCGACGGACGATGCTACTACCCTGCAACGCATCCATTTCCTCGTAGGGCATGGTGCGAGGGCAGCTGGCTCAGGAGCGTTGCGAGAAGTGGTTGCTGGGGACAACATGGAGCTCGCGTCGTGTCTTCTAGACAGTGGGGTAGAGGTAGTTGATGGGATAGAGCCGGAATAGACTTCATCATTGATGGGAGCAGCGCGCGAAGGCTACCAGGACATGGGGCAGTTGCTGCTCGATCGCGGAGCCGATGCCGAGCTTGTTGATCTGGAAGGAAGAGATGCGGTAGCCATCGCGAAGGGGAGCGACCATGACAGCATTGTAAGACTTTTGCAGGCGCATCGGTGAAAAGTCGAGGCTTCGAAGACGGAGACTTGGAGCATCAATATGTAGACAGAGAGAGCATGAGGAAATCAACCATGCAGGGGTCCATGGTCCAGTTTATATACACCAAATCGCCGGGAGAACCTCCCCTTGATTCCACCTTATTTGTGGTAAAACAGTACTACCTAACTGGGTGGAACCATCACGGTTTTATGACCTCGTGTTCAGATGAAGTGCGAAAACGAAGCGCGAGTTTCTGACCAAGAATAGCCAAATGTTCCAACATCGCTTGGGGGTTTTCGAAAGCGCTAAATGTGGCGCTTCGAGAATTGGTCGTGCTGGTGGGCAAGGTGACTCAGCCCCGTCACTCAGCCCAGTTGTTCTAGCGTGTTCAAAATGCGTGTCGATGCTTGGCTTTATGATTTCCTACGCACCTCATAGATCCAAATCATCAACTTCGTTACTACAAGTTGGGTTTTAGGGACGGTAGCGGGGTTGGAATCGCGAGAATGTTGATAGAAATCTTATATATTGGTATGAAAGATTTGAAAATTAGAATAAAGAGCTATTTTACTTCTATAGCAAATTCTTTCTCTATAAACATTCGTTATTTTAGCGGCATTTAAATAATAACGATAAGGAGTCTATTTTATATGTAGATGTCTTTACGATCTGAATTGTAGTTGAGAAATTGATATTTTGGATCCATGGGGGCGCAGGAAAATGTGATGCCAAGCGTTGACATGGATTCTGTTACGCTAAAGGCAGACTTGAGTCCGCCGGCCTGGTGGGCCCGATGTGAATCATCGATACGGCGAAGCACTCCTTTATATATGACTCCTTAGCCTTTTTCTTTCCCAACTTTCGCAGGTACAGCGCAGCCATGAAGCACTTTACCGCCTACAAGTTGACCCACACACTCCAGACCTACCTTGGTATGGTCATGAACAACGGCGAGCCACGAGTCCGCTTAGATCCATGCATACCCAACTACTTGATAGACACCGAAGAGATTCAAGTATCAGCCAAGCACCCCAGCTCGCTCTCGGAAGAAGCTCTTGTCGCTCTGTTCACTTCCTGCGTTCTCGACTGCCGTCTGCCACAATTCCGTAATCCCAACGACCCTGATGTAAAGCGCTTGAAAGCAAACATATATGCATGCTGCGACACGCAGATCGATATCGCTTTCATGAAAAGCAATATAGGCTCGCTGCTGCGGTTGGACCTGGAGCAAGCAGCAGCCGTTGTGATATCCGCTATCAGGAACGACGATGGTATAGCGAACAGATCAGAAATTGTGCAATCACTTCTGAAAGAAATCCACCCTAAGGTCCTAAGTCACAGCTGTATGTGGTTCGAATACGCACACATGGACTCGGCAATAACCATCCAAGCACGCAAGTTCTCCCATATAGTCACACAGACACGACACATAATTCAAGATAAGCACATGGTTGAAATGGGCGAATGTCCCGACTGGCAATGCCTACTTCCCCTTCTTCTGCGCATCCGCCGTTGCTCTCCACGCTCGCGCTGCCTTTTCATTCCTGAATGGATCTTTCGCGAAGCGAACGCCACTCCTCCCTCCGAGTTTTGCGTCTGGGACAAGCGGGGTCGCGTGGCTGCCGGACACGAGCCCATCCTAGCGCCTGCCTCCGATAGTATCGTCCTGACTCGCAAAGAGTTTCGCCGCGTTCAACGCCGTCTCTTGCGGTACTTCCGCTTCTGGGATCCCACACTCTGTTTACGACAAGACATCAAGAATCTTGAAGCCAACGTCATTTACGGCACCGAGCTCATCAGGTCTCAGGTGCTTCCTTCAAACGATACTCTCGTTGTAGCACACTACTTCTTTGCACTTCAGCGCCGTATGCAGCGTAAGGTGGTCTCAGACTTGCAGTGGACTAGCTTTCTTCAGAAAGGGGAGAGTGGGAACATTGTGCAAAACAACCCTGAGATTCCAACCACCTTCGAAGAACGCCTCAGTACCCTCAGTGGTCAGAGCGGCGTCCCTCTCTCCGGATCTTTACTACCGCAGATAGACCAGTGTTGCCTCTTGATGGAATCCTACGTCAAGGTCTACGGTAACGGCGATCGTAAAAATCTTGTTTTCGTACGGGGCGTGAGCGGTGGGTCGGGTCGTGGTGCAGTAGATGATTACAACTTGCTTTGCGATATCCTGAACACTTTGTGTGGTAAGGCCAAGGAAGAAGGCGTCAAAATGCCCGGTCCAGTGAGGAAGTTCTTAGCGAAGGACATCATGGCTTGGAACGAGGCATTCGGTGATGATGCTTTCGCTGGCGGGAGGGTGCCGGGATGGGAGCCATGGCTGGCTGAACGACGTGAGATGGGGATCCTTCAAGGGATCGAGGCATTGAGTATAGAGTGAAGCCTCGGCTTTTCTCCGTCTGAAGTAGATTATTGGTGTAGTGCAAACACAGTCTCGGCTTGTCAAACTACCTTACCGTTCACAGATCGCCGATTGGTCATGTTGTCGTTTTCACCGAGTCACCCACACAAAGCTTCAAATTGATAGCACACTCACCAGCAACATCTTTTAGAACGATCACAAAGACTGACAAACAACCATGTTGTTCATGGCTCTACCACTTGAGCTACGCTTCAAAATCTACCCCTACATCCTCAGCCCCGACCCGCCCAAACTCCTGACAGTTTACCATAACCGTCCCTCCGACCCTGGTATCTCCTTACAACACCTCCGGCCTCGACTGCTCCATCCGTCGCACCAACCGACAAATCTACCTCGAAGCCTTACCCGTCGTCTCCACCTCCAGCACTATCGCCTTCGACTTTACCCACTGGGAGAGCACCCACTGGAAGAGCTCGTCCTGTGACTTTATCGACTGTACCATTACGCCGCCTGCGAGGCTCTTCCTGCCGCCCAATGTGCGGTACCTAGACAATACGCCGGGCTGGTGCATCACGTCGGCTGGTCATCGGCTGTCAAGAGTGACTGCACAGCCATCTCTCCGCTCTACATCCCGCGTATGCGGCATATCAGGATCAACGTCTCGGAGCGTGCGCTGTAGGGATGGGGAAACAGAGGCGCGTATTACTCAGTCACTGGTAGAGTCCTGAACAGACTTTTACGATGCGTGAAGGAAGATAGGGTAGAAGATGACGAAACGCTCGCAACGAAGACGTTGAGATTCAGGTTGGCGGTTTATCAGGATGAGAACGGCAGTAATATTTTCATGCCGGGTGTGAACCGTGTGTGGGTCGAAATCATGGGGGACATGAGAAGAATGCTGGCGCTACTTGAGGCTGTGAGGGAGAGGAGGAAGGTGCGGGTTGAAGTGAAGTTGTTTCGGGAGAATATGTGGGTGGGCGCTATTGGTTTGGCAACTCTCGGTCTGGGCTCACAGTCACGAAAAGAGAAGGTCACGAAGAGACGGAAGAAGAATAGAAGTATAGCTCAGCGAGCCTAACTTGCACAGCAGCTAAGGCGGCTACGGTCACGGCTTACGGGCAGGCTATCATGTAGTGTACCACTGAGTATTGGGAGGCGAATAACAAAGTCGGCGAGGGCTTGGATTGCATGTCTCCCCTAACTCACTCTCAACAGGTATTGTATCAAACTCAGATCCGATTACAATCCCATTCCACTAGGTCTTCGACGCCGATACCATCACGCCTGCCGCTCTCCCTCGGTACCGGTTCGACCCCTTCACAGCCCTGCCCGTTTCACCACCCTTTCCAGAATAAACGTTCACCAATACCCCGGCTCCGCAACAATCGTCCGCGCTCGACTCATCAATCAATAAAGAGCAGCGCTGCGCCTACCCCCTCTTTCTGGAATCTTGCGAATTTGCCAGGAACTCTGTCGGTCGGGTTTGGGCATTTGTCTTCGCTGCCAGGATCGAGACGGACAAGCGCGCTCGATGCAGCGGTCCTTGATGAGGATCTGGCTTGGATGGACGGAGTTGTCGTATTGAAGGCAGTACTTCTGGTGGACATTATGGGGTCTCGGCACGAGATGTTCAAGGGCGCAAAATGGGAAATTGAACCAGGAAATCTGCGTTTCCTAACCCTAGAGGGCACGGGAGATACCCGCTGACAATCGATTACCTACACGATCGACTGGATCGTCCATCCGAGTCTTCCTTGAAGCTGTGCTGTACGACTCATAGCTCGATACAGGGGTTGTGACTTGGGATAGATCGGCCGCGGCCTGCGTTGCTTCCACTGGTCTCCAAAGACTATGGGGAGGTAGCGTTTGTGGCTTTGGGAACGTTCGCACGGGTTGGGGCATCAGAGCTTCGTTGAATGCCTGTGATAGGGTCATTGCTCGCGGGTGTATCTATCCTCGCAAAGGCCATTCGGCAAGTACGGCTCACCTGCGTCATCATCAACACAATCCCGCTCTATTGACTCGGCATTTTATCTACATGGGCACATTTCTCAAAAAGGAACAAGGTCCGTGGTCCTGGTAACGTTTCGCCATCTTCTACGCCCACAGAACCGGCATTCGCTGACGATAGACGTTCGCAAGGCGTCCACAGGTGGTGGTGTCGCTTTTGACGGTGTTCAGATGCGAGTTCTGAATGGAGGGATGGCCGGGAGTCTTCGTCCACGTGCGGTTCGCATATCTGTAACGGGCAAGGTCCAGGCCGCTTCACAGGAATGGCAGTATTGCCTTCCAGTACGGCTGCTAGACTCAAAAAGTACCTTACGGCTTCGACTGGCGGTTCTGGTATAGTACAACGCTTTGCTTGTCATGAATCCGCAGCCACTGAGTACCCATCGCGAAGATATCCGACGCCTAGACTGCCCTTTGTATTGGTATTTTCTGTGACGACGAGCTATGGCTTTTAGACTACGGTTGTATCCCTTTGTAGAAAAAGTGTGCCTTGCCTTCCCACCCTGACACGCCATGGATGCAAGAGGCAGCGATCCAGCGAGGTCTCTTGTCAGGAGACTGCTCGCGAGGATCAACCACACCGGTACAGGTGAACACGGTGCACACCCCGCGTGTTTGATTTACCAAAGTCTTATCATCCCGACAATCAGACCTCCGATCGTGAACGCTAGCCCTACGGATCATTCTCCAACGCGGTCACGCTCTCCACCACCGCCCCCGCCAAACTCGCCTCCAGCCGCTGCAGACTCTCCCCCGTATACGCCATCATCTGCCCGTGGTCCGCCAGCAGCAGATACTCCCCGTTCAAGAAGTCCCCGCTCAGGCCCTCCAGCAGCTGGCCCAGCTGCGCCGCCAGCTGCGTCGAGTAGTACGTCACGTCCGTGTCCAGCCGCGTCGCTCGGCGGCCCGACGGCAGTATCGACACGAGGGCTTGGTCGGCGGCGGCGTCGAGGCCGTAGTTGGACACGGTGGCCGCGAGCAGGGAGGAGGCGGTCAGTGGGAGGGAGGCCGGCGACGCCGTCGGCGCCGAGGGTTTGCGCCAGTTGCGCGATGGCGGGTTGGGATTTGAGGGCGTAGAGGGCGCTTTCCCAGGTCGTGAAGTAGGTGTTGATTGCTGGGCAGAGAATGCCGGGTCAGCGATTTTTATCATTTGATCTTTGGTGTGTGTGTGTGTGTGTGTGTGTTGCGTGCTACTTACCGTAGATATTAAAAGCCCCGTAGAACACATGCGCATCCGTGACCGGGCCCCCGAGCCGCGGCGCCGAACAGTTCAAACTCCCGAACGTCGAACAATCATACCCGGCGCTCCCGTACGCCAGCCGCAGGAAACACGTCGACCATATCTCCCCATCTTCGCACGTCTTGGTCGTGAAGTTCCAGTTGAACATCCACTCGTTCATCTGCAGGCTGTCCCAGCAGCTCGGGTACGTGGCGCCGGTACTGCTGCTGAGGTCTGTGCAGTTGGGGCTTGAGGAGTTGGCTGTCGTTGCTGCGGGGAGGGGGTGGGCGTTGTTTTGCCAGCTGGCGTAGTCGGGTGGGCCGGCGCCGGGGGCGGCGGACGGTAGGAGGGGCGCGAGGCATAGAAGGAGAAGAAGAGACAGGTTGCTGCGCATGCTCATACTGGGACGGGCGGTCACGGAAGAAAGGGGTGGGAAGTGTCAGTTTCGATATTGGGAGAGCTGCACATCACGTCGGAGCGTTCCGAAAAGCCTACGGAATGGGTGGGGAGGTGGAGCTGGTGGGGAGTCGTAGGATTCTGGGAAATGAAAGCGAGTTGGGATTCTCGCGTGGGGAAATGGGGTAGCTGGGGAGGTATCCACTCGCAGTGGATCTGGCGCATGAACGGAAGACACGCGATTTGGTGCCTGTACGTCGCATGTTTCTTGAAACAACGCCAAGCTCAATAACGGCCACTAAGAAGCACTTGAGCAAACATACGAACAAGGAGTAGATGTGGGTAGATGTGGGTATCTCAACAATGATAAGGGAATGGCAGGTACTTTTGGCTTTGGCGTTTGGATGGGGTATATTTATTAGAATCCTTCGAAGAAAAATCCAGCAATCGCAACCGGACTGGCACCAGCTCCGTGCGCCAGGCTGACACCGCCTAAAAAGGATGTGCATGGGATGTGCATGTGCATGCTGCAACCCCAATCATGGCTCCCCAAACCAAAGGTCCGCGTGGCCGGGCATGGGTGGCCTGGTGGATGGCATTTCCGATCTGCGTCGGGGCAATTGTTTTCGCGCCACTTGGCGTTGTTGGACAGTGGGAGCCCATGCTGCTTGCGGTGGTATAATTGCGGTATGATGTCCCCGAGCTATGAGGGGCTCTAATTCGCCTTGGCTCGGAGGTAATTCGGTGGAGGAATAAGCCGATCGAGGGAATGGTCGGAGAGGGCGAGCCGCAATGTGTGTGTCTCCGGTGTTCGACTTTGGCTTGTGGGGCGCGATCTCTGTTTCTGAAGACCAGGGGTATGTATGATATATCATGGCAGACTGTGAGCGTGGGTACGGCGTAGGCTTAGGCTTAGGCCGGTATGAGCCCATGGGCGATAGGGTCGTGTAAGGCGGAAGCGTTGCGAATGAGGATAGAGGTACTTGGTGAGGTGTGGCATGTCTGTACTGACACTCCAGCGGTGTGTCATCTTCGCAAGAGGATACCGAATGCACCTTAACATCGACAGAGCCGTCAATTGGAGACGTATGTTGGGCCAAAAGTCTTGTCGATACTCCGACGGGATCGTTATGCCATTCTTTAAATTCCCTCCAGTAGTCCCTCGATGCGCGTAGAGTGTTCAGGATACTGTTTCTCGTGTGAGTGAACGGCTTCGCGCATTGCCTGAAGAATTCTTTCGTGTCTTCCATCACGCTGTTTTCCTTCGTCCTCAACTCTTTGCGCTCTTTCCTGAGACTCTCTTTCCCCCAAATCCATTTGATGATATGGACCACCGTGGCGCAGCCAAGTTTGATCGAAATTAACCAGGCGTGGTGATATCTCTGAATGATCGCGGCGATGATGACGAAGCAGGCGCTGACCCAGGTGCTCCACTGTGAGACGTTAATTCCTGAAGTTGGTTGGTCTTGTGAAGCTCACCTGTCCAACGGCATCCTCACTCTCGCTGACTGGCCAACTCCAGGTGCTAAACTCGTTGATAATCACTGATGATACGAAGACAAAGGGGCAAATGAAGGCCACAGCTATCGCGATGAGGAAATAGTAGCCTGCGACTGTCTTTCCAATATAGTACCGAAGTCTTGATCCGAATGCAGTTCGTCGTTTCTTCGGAGTGGTCCCGGCAAAAGTGCGGAAGGCCCAATTCCGCACCGTTGTCTGGTCCCATTGATTCTCGATGAGCCCGAGTATTCCTTGTGCGATAATCCATAGAAGAAACAGACAGTTGACCAAGAAGAGACTATTGACGAGCTCGCTGCCTGTTAGGATGCCGATTGTGTCAGATATCAACAGCGCCGAGGCACCTTGGTTTTGCCTCAAGGGAGTATGGGGCAGGTCGAAAGCGCCTAGGTTGGAATTAGTGCTCCTCACATGCGATATTGGGCCAATGAACCTTACCACAGGTATCGGTACAATTACACTTATTGTATAGATCCAATGATACGCCGTTATTAGTGACTGACAGATTCTCGAAGGTGCAACCCTTGGCGGCGTCCAGAGCGCAAGTTGACAATTGGCTTAGGATGACCGACGGTACGACCCCTTTAATTACAATGACAAAGGTAGGAACCATAGCACAAAAGAGGAGAACGCCCCAGAAGATAATCACGGAATGCGCTTCATGCTGTCGAACAGTGGTTGAGAAATTTAAGATTGGCGTCAACATGATACTGCCTGCAACCAGGATAGGGAAAATTGCCTGTAAGTCAATGTCTCCGAGCTCCTTGGGTGGCAGATAGATCCAGTCAAGATTTCTCAATGTCGGCGTATGGTACCTGTATCGCAGGAGCAGCGCAAACGCATGCACTGAAGCCGTTGCGGCGTAGGTCATGGCTGCTCCAAGCGCCGCTGTTGACAGCCAAGAATGTTTCCGAAGGATCAAAGAGAAGATGAGT